TTTCAATGCTTGATTTATAAGTATTGAGTAAGTAAATAATAAAAGAATAAGTACCCATTTTATTTTATTTCAACATTTATAAGTGAGGCTACACACAAAACCACATAGTTGCATGGTATTGCGATATCGTTAAGAAAGGAAATTTTGTATTTTTGCAACGTTGGTAAGGTCTCCGTGATAAGATTGTAGGGTCTTCTTGGAGTACTTTAACTAAATGAAAAAATTAAAAAAATTAAATTGTTGGGGGAAATATTGTTTCTGTTTCACCACATGTCGCAGCGCGAGTAGATTTGTTTTAATGACAGTATCAGTCCCCTTTTTGACTCATATGGCATTTTTATGGACTAGTCACTTTCTCAAAGACATACATCGACATACAAAAGACAAATAACACAAAACATTCAAAATTTATTTCATGAAAAAAATGTAACAAATGCTATTTTTAAAACCACTTATTCATTTGTAAAATTGCATCAGTTTAAAGTTCTTTAGATTATTTTAATTTTTTATGTTCACTACACTACTGTTACTACGACTTTAATAACTTTTAATTCTAAATTATTTTGAAACTGAAAAATTATGAAAAATTATACAACATTATATTATTATATTAGAATATTCTATTTTACTCTCTATACCTTATTATTTGATTTTCGTCACATTTTATTAAACTATAAAATGCCAAGTCCGCTTAATTTTTCCGAATCACTAATCGCTAGAGATGTCACGAATATTTGGTGACTATTCGGTATACGGCATTCGGCCGAATATTGCAAACTGTTCAGCCGAATTCCGAATAGTAATAGCAAATAAAATTTAACACGTTTTATTCGGCGTTTTGCGACCACAGTTTTATTAAAATTTGTAAGAGTTTGCTATCTAATTTAAGCGAACGGTATTTTTTTAAACTTCTTCATATGTGTGCATATTTTCTGTAGAGATTGGTTTGATCGTTTTTATTAACATTTCTTTTTGTTATCATATCAAGCAGCCATTCACTGCAGCTTATTCGTATCAAGCAGCCATTCACTGAGAAGGAATAACCGTTCACTGACTTAATATTTCTCAAAGCATTTAAAAAACGTTTTTGGTTTTCTTGCTGTGTTTTAACTAATCCCTTAAAGCTTGTTTTGGAGCGTGTATTAATAAAAAGGGGTTACTTAATAAGTGCGAATTTCATAAGTGCAAACAGGATAAGTGCAAACTTGCGTAAGCGCAAACTCGCGTAAGTGCAAACTTTCATAAGTGCGAACTGGCATAAATGCAAAGCAGTTTCAAAAACTGGCATGAGTGCGAATGAGCATAAGAAGCCATCCATAAGGACGTCATGATGTAGGAGGAGGAGGGTGGAGGGAGTCAAGATAAAATATATTTACTTATATTTTTTTAAATATTTTATGAGGAGCTTCAAGTTGTTGGATAAGTTTGGTGCTGAACTCGAAAAAAGAGGCTACGATCTTAGCAGAAGTGTTTTATATTCTTGGTTAATGCCATAATAGAGCTAATTGTTTGAAGGAAAGACATACGTCGGTTCAAGCCAAGTTGATGCAAGCCCAAAATAATCTTCATTCAAGTCACATTGATGATCCTCTTCGTACAACAACTATAAGAAATGTGGAAATTGTTGATTTAGGAGGATAGAATTTTACTGATAATCATTATGGAATTCTTCCAGACTCTTAAGGAATTCAAATTCATTTTTAATATCAACTCTTTATCAAATTACAATAAATATAGCAAGACCTAAAAGTTAATTTATCTGCATTGCAACTTACATTTAAAGTAGGACAGTGGATCTTCTTTTGGAAAACAAAATTTTAATTATGCTTAAAGTCTGGTAATTGACAAGTTTCCAACGGTGGTTGAGTATATCGATCCAGACGGCAAGACGGAGCTCGATGCTCGTCACCTTTTATTGAAGGATCAGGAATGGTTTGCATCATGTGCGCACAAGCCAATATTTCAGGCAAATTGTAAAATTTGAGAATCCCGGATATTATTCTTTGAAACAGAGCTCTTATTTCCATGTTACTCCCGGTTGATTTCTGCCTTCACCAATTTCAATCTGTTAGAAGATGGCATGGTTTGAAAGCTGTAGTCGTTTCAGACGTCAACAGCAAGAATCATTTTCTTTTTGTATTTTTTATTATCGCCTTCAAAATTCAGAGGATCATTTCTCGATCATTGAAATCATTCAAACTTCTTCTGTACGATCTTTTTTGTTCTTCTGTTCAATCAGGTTTGTCTCAGGGAATCTGTAAGCATTGTAACTTGTACTTTGCCTCCCAAGTCTTGATAAAAAAGCATGTCAGCATTGCATATTCCAATTTTATTAACCAAATGCCTATTACCCTTTTGCGAGTTAGATCTACTCGCATTAGCGTCAAACGCAGCAGAGAGTTAATGGCCGTAATTAAGGTAAAAGAAAACGCGGCCTTTGCTGAATTGTTCGATGAGGACGAAATTGAAACGGAGGGCCTTAATATTTCAAATGCGACTATTTTAGACGAACCGGACTGCCCTTTTCCAATGGTATCAATTGTCAATTATTTAAAAAATCCTTGGATGGATGAAGAATGTGGCATGTTCCCATGACACGCGTTGATTAAATTTAATATATAGAATAAGGTTTGTATAAATTATGTAACAAAAATTTTTTTTTTCAGGGAGGCTTTCAAGAATAAACAAATGAAACATACCTGGAAATACTCAAAAGCAACTGAATGATATTCAAACACAGAAAAATGTAAATCATGTGAAAAATTTCAATAAAAATGCTTAAATTACAAAGGGATTTTGTTTTAAAAAATAAAAGGAGGGGGTCCCAATTTTATGACATCACTTTAAAGGGGGTATAGGAAATAAGGACAACCGATGACAAAGGGAGAGGGAGGGGGAGGAGTCAAAAATTGTACAAAAAAATGGTGACGTCCTTTATCGACGATCCCTATGTATAAATTGGCATAAGTATGCCGAAAGAATTTGCAAAGATTAGCATAGGTGCGAGTTGGCATAAGTGCGAACTGTTAGAACTGCAAACCAGTTGCAAAAACTGGCACAAGTGAGTCAAATGAATTTGAAAACATTGGCATAGAATTTCCACTTATTAATTCACACTTGTACCAGTTCTCACTTATGGCAACTTTTCCAACTACTTCACACTAATGGCAGTTCGCACTTATACTAGTTCACAAATATACCAATATTTACAACTGCTTCGCCCTACGCCTGTTCGCACTTATGATATTTGCACTTATTCAGACTCCCAATAAAAAAGACGACCGTATAAACTGACATTTTTATGGGCTAACAGCCCATGTTTTAAGTTCAAATTGTAGTTAAGTATCTCTTTTAATAAGTTTGGAGTTTTTTGTGCTATATCTATCTATAGCAACTTACCTCAGAAATGAAAGATATACCTGAGTTGGTTATTTTTGTAATTTTTTTTGAATAGTTATGTATAAAAGTATGACTTTTATACATAACTATAGTTGAAAAAATTTAATGTATAATAACCAAGTATAATAACGAAATATTTAAGTGATTCAGTATTCGGTATTTTTTTATTTTTTTTTTTTTTCAGTTATTTAGGTGCCCCAAGAAGACCTAATGGTCTTGTCACAGAGCACCGCGGAAGTGCATTTAACCAGGAAGTTCACGCCTCCTTCCTTACCGTGACACGAATGTGTCACGGTAATGAAGGAGGCACGGAAATGTCCAGAGCACGGACATTTCCAGAGCTTCGGAACCTTGATCTCCTGCTTCTAAAGCAAGCGCTTTATTTGGCAAGATCACTATTCGTAGGTGTTTTTACAAAGATTTTTTTGCCGTGTATGATTTCTAGACAGATTATTTAAAACTTATAATAATTGGTAAAGTGTAATATATTTTTATTTTTCTTTAAATCCGAGTGACTGTTAATGAAAAATGGTCCAATAAATATTGGACTATCGCCAGATCTATCTTTACGGCGATGTACACAAATAAATAAAGCAATTGAATACTCTCCTAATTAAAAAAACTCTTAAGGTAATGTTTGAAAAACTGTGTTGCACTGGCCCAAAGTATGATTATTTGATATTTGATCTATAAGTACACATATCATAATTGTGTTAATAGTTTGGCTCAGACAGACATGCTATTAAATTATACCTATTAAAAAATTGCTTCAGAAATTTTTACATAAATAAGTTAAACTTATATTTATTTTGCAAAATAACACAATTATGATAGCTTGGCATAAAGTGATAAAAATAACGTTTTTAATAACGTAAGTAGGCAATCTATTAAATAAGCGCTCTATATGTTATTGGTGATGTTAATCGTTAGACCAATTGACCCTAAATTTATTTTATGTTTCAAAATATAATATTTATTATAACACAATATAGTATTGTGGTTTATACTCCTATTAATATAACCTGGAAGGATACGAATTTAAACAAAATAAAAATAAAACAAAAAAGTAATTACCTTGTTGATTTCAATTTGAACATGTTAAATAAATAACCAAAAATAAATAACTAAAAATAAAAAAATAAAGAAAATAAGATTTCCAAAAATTTTAAAGTATATAAGTATATTTATAGTTTTTGAGAAAAATTATTAGTAGTATTTAAAACCATATTATTCCATAAAAATGGTCCTAATTTTGATATAAACGATGATAAAAGACTTCGATGTGGTCCGTTGTGGTCTGCTGTAGCTGGTGTGAACCGGTGTAGTCTGGCGTGGTCCGGTATAGTATTCGTATACACCGTCATAAAGAATAATAGACACCAAAATAAACAAGTATTAAGTAAAAAATAGTTAAAAAATAGTGATTTGTATTGTTAATGTATAGAACTGTAAGGTTTTGTATTTTTATTTCAGGTAATTATTTATCATCTAAAAATAAGTGATCATTGGAAATTATTGTTTATCTATTTAAACAACTATTTATCTATTTATCTATTATCTAGTAACTATTTATAAATTATTCATCTTAAAAATAACTTTGATCTTATTTAATTTTGGCATGTAAAGTTGAAAAAAATCAATTTAGTTATAAATTACTCGCTATTTATTTTATGCTTTAAACATAGTTACTGCTTAAGTTATACAAACATAAAAAATTATTTGAAAATGAGCTCTCAAGATCAAAGAGTTCGTCAATTGAAGATTAAAACAGGAATTGTTCAAAGGTATTTTATTATTAATTTTGTTGTTGTTGCTGCTGTTATTGTTTTGTTTTTTATTTAAAAAAATTAAATTTCAAATTAAATTTTAGTTTTATTTTTTGGTTTCACATTGTACTCTTTTAAATGTTGTTTTGGTTGAATGGCTGTTTTACAATATGGCTGTTTTACAAAATGGCTATTTTACAATAAAGTTGTTAGTGTTTAATTTCTGACCAAACATTCTGCATCAAATAGAAATTCTTTTTGTTGAAGCAAGTTTATTGGCATCAAAAATGTTGCACCAAATAGTGATAATTTTTGTTGCAACAACAAAAACTATCACTATTTAACAACTGTTGCAAGTTTCATAGTAAATGTTTCTTCAACTTTTTTTATCTTTTTGTTTCTAAATGAAGAATTTATAGAGAATCAGAATAAATGAATGTTTTAATTACATATTTAAAGTTCTTAAAAACTACTGTTTAGCAATGATTTTGTTGATTCTAGGAAAATTATTACTTCATATCATCATCAATCTTAATTAGCAATTTTACTTAATTGCTTATTTATATTAGAATTGTGGGCATAACCTTCTGTCAGATAATTAAAATAAATGAAATTTTAATGTTTATTAAAATCTTAACAAAGCTCAAAAAAGTCTGGTGTATAATCTACATATTCAGTAGCTAGCTAAAAAAAAGCTGTAATTATTGAGAAAATAGAACCTAGTTACAAAGTATCACTTCAATGCTATTCAGTATAAATTTGAAAAATAAAAAATTTCAATACACTTATTAACTTTTTTTTATTGGCATATATATTTTTATATGAATTGCAGCATCATATTACTTTTGTTGCATACCCCCTTCAAAAAACGTGTTCATGATGGAGACAAGTTATTAATATTTCTCTATTATCTTCAAGATGATCTTTAAGAGATTCTATCTGAAGGATATTCATGTTGTTAGATAACATTTACTTTCTTGTTGAATTTACTCTATGTCAAGTTAGCAGAAAAAACAAAAAAAATGATATCCTATTTTTTTTATTTTGCTAATTTTTACATAAGTTAAAAAGCTTATTAGTATTAGGATAAAACTTGAAAGTTTTAGTATTCAGCTCTTTGTTTCAATTTCCCTGATTTACATATAATTTCTCAAATCGCAATATCTTGAACAGTAAGGGACCGAAATCTTTTTTTTGATAATGAGTTAGTAATACATTTCCATTAAGTCCAATCTTGAATTGTTTCATTTAATCTCTTGAAATCAACTAATTGATTATTATTATTAAAAATCTCTGTTTAATTTGAACCTCTGATAATTCGAACTTTGTTAAGTCTAACCATTTTTTTGTCCCCTTTCAGCAAATTTCTATGGTTAACTCAAAATTTTCATATGGGAAATTAAAAAATCCAAATAACTTTCTTAAATTTTTTTTAGAAGTCATTCCATTTAAAACATAAATAACAGAAGTCTAATATTTTCTATGTTTTTTCGAATATTTATTTAGATCTGAATAGAATAGTAATTAGATCTGATTAGAATAGATCGTTATCAGACATAAAATAGCGCTTATAAAAAAACTGTTACAAAATAAATCCCAGTAAAATAACATTAAAAATTTAAAAGTTTTATTAAATTTCTTAATAAAATATTGCTGGGTCACCACTTGGGCCTTAGCTCAAAAAATTTTGAAAATTAAAATTAAGATAATTATGTTTCTTTTAAACTCAATATGAAATTCTCTCATATTGACTAGAAGAAGTCATTTTTGAATGTGTTGCTTTATATCAACTACTTTAACTGAAATAAACCCTTTTTTTCCTAGACAAACCCTTGAATACTCATTTCATTGATAGAACTGAAACACCTCTGCAATTACAATTTAGCTAAGTTTTTTACCTGTTTTTTGGGAAAGTTTTAATAGTATTCCACTTTTTTTTCTTATTTCTCTGGCTTGTACTACAGATCTTTTTGAAGTCAAAAAATATTTCTGAGTTTTCTCTATTAACCAACTGTCTGGAGTGAGTGTAAAAGGTGTGATTTTTTTGGATTATGAAAATGTTTTGTCAAATTTTGACTTAATTTGAATCATAATATTGTCTAAATCTTTGTTTGTCTTTTTCAAACATTTTTTTGAAGGTGGTCCAATTGCTAAGAGCAGCTATGTTTAAACCTAGCCCATTGGCAACAGCCAAAACTTCCATACTTAAATTAAGATCTTCTTTTAATGTATGGTTGTCAACATAAATTTATTTTTCTTGGAGTTCATTTTCTTTTGTATTATGATGTTTGCAATGCAGGGTTTTTCTGCAACTAGTACACATTTTTTGACCAGGTATTAAACCCAAATCTTTGGCATATGAAAGACTGTGGCATATGAAAGACTCTAAGAAAATCTACACAGTAAAGAAAATAATTATTAAATATTGTTTCACATTTATTTATTACTAAAGGTATTTGTGTTAAATTAAGGTATTAGTTTAAATATTAAAACTTATTTTTCACTTTTTTTGCGTGCTTGTTAAAAAGATTACAATAATACTTTCGATGTTCATTCTCATACCTCAACAAGTAAACTTTCTCATGATAGTTACAAATAAAATTTATGGGATTTACTTTGCTTCTCAAAGAAAGAAGCTCTTGGTTTAGTCTAGGCTATCTTTGGTAACATTTACTTTTTTTAACTTGTTAAACTTTATAAGATAGCACTGTTCCTTTAATGCTTTGCCATAACAGCAAGGAGAAAGCTTAGGCATACTACTCATTATTAATTAGTTCTAAAATACTACAATTTATTTGGTTTTATTAGTACTTTTTAGATTGACATACCAGTATTATAAAATTAAATGAAACAATAACTTAACTTTTTAAAAGTAATAATTTAATGGTAAATTTAACTTTTTTAAACTACCGCAATAAAATAAATTATTGCAAAACAAGTTTATTTAACTAATTAAGAAAAAAAAAATTTTTAAATGTGCATATTGTGGTATGTTTATTTTGGTTCAATTTTTTTTTTTTTTAATTTGAAATAATTAAATTTACTTTTTTTTATTATCATTTACCATAATTTAATTTCTTTTTTTTCTCAAAATTTGTATCAATTAATTAAAATATATTCTTCTCGTTTTTTTTTTTCATTATTTTATCAAGTTGCGACTTCACAAATAATAATTTTTTACTTTTAAAAATTTAATAACAAACAAAAAATATTACTTGTTGCAAAAAAAAAAACTCAAGTTAATTACTTTAAAAGCACTTTTTTTGTGTGACAAACAAAGATTTATATTTCTAAGAAGTATTTATTAAAAAATGTATACAGTTGCGCTTTCACCTGCCTTAAGACAAAAAAGTTAAATGTACACTTTATGAATATTTTTGATGCAGTGTTATAAGTTATAAGATGTTTACAAGGAATTTGATTTTTTGGAAAAAATAGAAAAAGAGGAAGAAAAACCAAGGGAAAAAAAAAGTAATTTTTTTAATTTAAATAACTTTTTTAATCAAATTTTTTTTTTTAATTATAAGGAAATTTCTGTTTTTACTTTTTTGATGTCGCACAATCCGTTATATATATATATATATATATATATATATATATATATATATATATATATATATATATATATATATATATATATATATATATATATATATATATATATATATATATATATATAGCTATTATATAAAACTTTTATAAAATATTATTTTTCTAAACTTTTTTAATTATATTTTGCAAAATAAAACTTATAAATATAAACAAAGACATTGCAAAAGATATATTGCTTCAAGCGTAAATTGAAGCAAAAATAAAAATAAAAAATAGAGTTATATCTAGGGTTGTTCGCCAAAAAACAAAACTTGCGAAAATTTCTCATCTTTATCTACCGTAATAGAATTGTTATTGCGGAAGTTGCACATGCAAAAATGCACATTCCGTAACGCGCAATACGAAAGTATAAATAAATAAACTTCCGTAATAAAGCATTGCGAAAGAAAACTTGCGAAACAAATCATTTCGTAAGAATACTTACAAAATAGTTCCTTACGGAAGATGCATTCCGGAATGTGCAGTTACGAAAAAGACGCAAAAGATTTTATGTTACGATATATTTAAGATATTAACTGTTAACAGTTTAAATAATAAATAATAAAATTATAAAAAAATGTTGTCAAATGATTCTTCAAATGTTTATACAAATATACCTAATATATATATATATATATATATATATATATATATATATATATATATATATATATATATATATATATATATATATATATATATATATATATATATATACATATATATATATATATATATATATATATATATATATATATATATATATATATATATATATATATACACATATATATACAGTAAAATCCTGTTAAGTTGGACTCTCAATGAACAGATAAACAGTATGCCTTTCTTTTTAAAAAGTATAAAGAGGATGTGTGATAAACAATTTAATACTTTATTATAAAGAACGAGAGATCTCTCTAAAGGTAAATGATATCAGAAAGAGTAAAAAGAGAAGAAATATATGTGAAACAGCGGGATGTGAACTTGGGTCTCCGCAACCAAATGTCTTAACTGAATGAGCTATACGTTCATTCAACTAAGTGAATAGTATTATTTATTTATTATATAATTAAGAAACTATATAAAACAGAATTTACAGAAAATGATACGTATGCAAATAGGATTCTATATATCAGGAAAATGTATAGTAATGTGAACCTTTAGTTGCTTATAATTAATATCTGGACTCGAAAACTAGTTACTTTTAATGGAACACAATAGGCTGTAGGAGCCTCAGGGAAATTATATTCAGAAATGATTATATTAGACTCAGAGTTAGCTAGAAATTATTACAAAGTGTTTAGGACAGATATCTAGTACAAAAAGCACAAGATTTAAAGCAAAATGATTTATATTATTTGAAAAATTTGTTTTACGTACATTTCATCATAGTTTAAGTAGAACTTATTAAAGCAAGGGAAACG